GTTTAACTTTACTTGGGGTGTGCAAAAATTTTTTAGTAATGTTTTAATATAGTTTTAAATTACTGTAGCGTATTTGTATGGTGAACGAACGGACAGAACATCAGCTTAGTTACTTTCTCTTTATTTTCTCTTTACTTTAATAAAATTTTTGTCTAAACATTTTTTATCCAATCAATCCAGGGGGGGGGGGCAAGTGCCCCACCTTGCCACTACGTGCGGGCACCCATGGACTCTATACATTTCTCTCAAATTCTTGGACTGCATCGTCTCTGCCGGTCAGATGAAGACTTGTTACATAGGGTCAATGAAATGATGGACTTCTTTCGCTGCAGATCTTATTTCGAGTGTACACTTGAATTAATGTCTCGGCACACAATTGTATCAGTACTATCACACGTTATGATGTTTTCAAACATCCTTCAAACAAAAATGAAAATCGAACCAAACTCAATCAAGCCTACCATCCCTACATTTGTGATTGCCAAACAAAAAAAAAAAGAAAATTCATAAAGAACCGCCAAATAATTCTTGCTGACCCCGACACAAAAGGGTATTCTCGTCCACTCCACTTATTGTCTTCAGACGGGACAAAAATCTAGGTGACCTTCTGGTTCACAGTCGCCTTCGAGTCAACTGGCCTCACGTTGGAACTTAACCATGCAATGGGAGCCGCGGTAGGACTTACCCCTTTACCATGGAAACTAAAAAAGCATTAGCTTCCCAAGGGGTATTATAGTTTTACCACCAATGAGGGATTCACGTATATGTGATTGTTTGCCGCAGATAACGCCCCTGTTATATGGGCAAAACGGGAAGAAGATATCGCATTTTCTGGCGTATAACACGACCACCAACTTTCCCTGTTATAATATAGGGTTTGGGCTATGCTTGCCGTATAAGACTACCCCTCTTCCAACGCACACCAAATACAATTAAAAAAAAAACACAAAAAAAAACACATCATATTTTGTTTCGAATGGGTTAACAAGTCGTCTTATAGGGTCTGATAGGTTCAGTGCACATCTTGGTGATGATGAGCAAATCAAAATATCGACTGTCTCATTCCATTTCATCGGAGGTCAGATGTTTCCAGCAGAGCTCTGATTTCTTTCACTAATACACCAGCGACAGTGAATAATGAAACAAATGTATTTAGATTTTTAGCCCAATATCATCATATGGAATCAACCCAAAACTAATTAATTTACAGTGGTCCTCTATTGTCCTGCATTTCTTTTTTTCCCTACTTATTTCTTATAATCTTTTAAAAAATATTTATTTATATATATTATATATACATATATATATATATATATATATATATATATTGTCTTT